AAATAAAAAAAAAAATCAAATAAGAATAAATAAAAAGAGAAACATCGAAACATTTCTGATTAAAAAAATCATTTTTATTAAATAATACATACATTGCCTCTATGTTCAGTGAAAGTGTTTACAAATCCCCAAGTCATAATCATCCAACTGTCATAATAATCTTGAGATTTCCCTTTACGTTGTAGCCATCCGGAAGCAAGTCTTAACATCAAAATTAAGAAGATACCATATGCTATAAACGAAGAACCCATAATGAAATGTGCAAGACACTGTACTAAATTTTCACCCCTATTAATTAGGAAGGAAATGAGTAAAAATAAATTTTCGAAAAACATAGTACTTAAATTGAAATACATACCTGCACCATACATTAGTAGTTATCACACCAAACACCATTTGTATGTAACCTATAACAGGTATAGCTATACCAACAAGTTTATGAAATTTTTTGGATAAAGGTCTAAACCATTTGTTGGGACCACTTGTTAAATGTAGTTTTAGATAAGCACCAACACCAACTTGACATATTAGAAGATAGATGAGGTAAGGAGCAAACAAACTATGAATGTTATTACTAGAAAATTCCCTTCCACCATGTGCATGACCAAGAAAATAACCAATTGTGGTGAAAATAGAACCGGCTATCTGCACAGGAACATGCCAACGAGATTGACTAAGGCCCAGTACCATACCTTTCTCAGCATGGAGAAAGGTTGATAGTTAATAAAAAATATATATATACATATATATATATTCATAAATTGGCATACCAGTAGGAAATATTATGGCAAAAGCTAAGAACATTGAAACAATATGGGCCAAAAGAATTCCATCGATAGGTTCCAAGGTAGCGTCACCGTCAGTAGTTTCGTTCGTTTCATGATGTTCATGAGCATTTGTAAAAAGAACCGAGATAACGATAAATAGTAAAAATCGAAAACTTGAAGATAAAGTCATTTATCAAAAAGGAAAGTGTTGATTTTGAAACAAAATTACGCACGTATTCTCTAAAATTATATAATAGTAACAGTAACAGCAAGTAGTATATCAGATATGCATTAATACTAAATTGGTTGCACAGTATGATGGCTGAAAAAGTCATGATCGTATGATAGCTAATATTAATAACGCAATTCCCTGGGTTTGAAAAAAATTAATTATAGTTATACGTAAACTACAAATAAATCTTCGACGAATAAAGGATGATTTGCACCATATATGCTTATTAATTACGTTATTAGGTTATTTGCGAAGATTAAATTCTTAAAATTCGTTAAGGTTAGGGTCAAAGTTATGATCTAGGGAATAGTTCATATTGTAAAATTGTTCAATGAAAACTTTTTGTTAACGCACAAAAGCTGGTTTCTTATGCTAATTTTTGAGCTATGAGCAGAACGAACGTTTGTTTTGAATCTCCTAATCGTGTTACGTTACACCTAATCTTGAAATCTGATTTATAGTTCAGGAAATCTGCACTACACATTTCTGTATTGATTCTTCACCCGGTGTGCAACATATAAAAAAATTATTTCACAATTCCAGATCATTCCGCTAATACATGTTATGATTATTGAGTGTCTATTTGTCTGCCACATGTCACACTCGAGGCTTGTATGATGACTGTGCATAATGCCAAGATATTGACAAGAATAATTAATTAAATTATCAACTAAATTATCGGCTAAATTATCGGCTAAATTATCGGCTAAATTATCGGCTAAATTATCGGCTTAGCGATTAATGGTAGTCTACTGCTTTCAAATTTATTTAAGCACAAATATAAACCAAATTAATATGATTTTTACGTGATATATTCTCAGACTATCATTAATAGGAAACCTCCCTAGTATACCCCTAAAAAAATGTTACGAAACTGAGTTTAAATTTTTTCCGAATAACAAAATCCTATATTCAAAATTAGAAGTCTATAATCAGCGATGATGGTACTTAATTGTCGCATTTAACGCAATTTAATAATTTTTTAGAATCGAGTTTTTTTTTAAATAAACCATAACTTATGATGTTTAATTTCTAAGCTATGTAGTCCCATCACTATCTATAATTCTTTCGCTTCGACAAATAATCGACAAATAGTAGCGAAATTACACTGAAAATATATATACTTAAACTAGACATCGGATGTCAATTTTGATTAATTTAGTTATATATACATACTAATTAAAATCTTACCAGAAAAAAATTATTTTTTTCTATTGCATCTTTGATTTTACAGATGTATGTACTAATTTATAAGATTTTTTTTAATATTGAATGATGAATAAGTCACGCGGACCAATCAATCCCAAGATTTTGTGTACAGAGGCATTCGTTCCTGGTACCTACCGTTTAAAGTATTGTTTGGGGTGCTACACAAGTCACAATGACAGATTATCCAATCATATGATGGGAATCGCACACACCATTTCACTCGGTAGTAAACCGGTTCTATCATAAAATCCTGACATCTAAAATCTCGAAAACCATAATCTCGATATCATGCGGAGTAATAATTAATATTTAAAGATTAGTTATCACATTAACAATCATTGTCAGGTTTTAAATTTAATGGTCGAATCGCGTGATGTCGGGATTACGGATTTCGAGATTTTGGATGTCGTGATTTTTTGGTAGAACCTAGTAAACCATACCCTACGTACTTCGTAATTTGTTCCTGGTAAAATTTTATTATGTTGACCAAACATCCCTACCTCCAGCAACAATATTAACACGTGTGTTAGTTTTAAATTCATGTTAATAGCGATATTAAGAGATTATAATTAAAGTTGATATACAGTATACGTATGAGGGAATTTTAATATAAAAATTTATAAAAATTTAAGATTTTTATAAATTTTATTCAACAATTAACCCTTTTTTAGCCAATCAGAGTTGCAGAAAAGTAGATAATACAACAATATAACCTCTTTTGGCTGACCTGCATGGATTATGTTCGTACAAAATCAATATTCCTATAAATTGATTTTATCTATTCACTAATCATCTAAACGAATGAATTTTAACCTAATGGAAGATTTAGAATTAATAACTTCATACAATGATATTGTTTTGCCGACTGCGTGGGATATTGAAGATAAATCACCATTTATTGACATAGATTCAAGTGGACTTAAAGTAAATTATATGAGTAAGATGAAAATGAGAAATTTCGCAGAAACATGCTTAATGAGTGCTGATGGTTAAATATTTTCATAGCTTTTTAATTTTACTAAGAAACCTTTTTAATTAAAGACCACGATGATTATAAAGCTGCTATAGTTCGAGCAAATTATCCGATTCCTTCACAGTGTGGGATATTTTACTTTGAAATTAAGATTATAAACAAAGGGGAAAATGGGTAATAAAAATAATTGTCGAGGCTGATGCTGAAATTTGGACCTACTTTGATATGAAATTTTAAATTTTTTGAGGGTGTTTTTTACCGTCTTTTTGTTTTAGATTTAGGTTAGGATTAGGGTTAGAATTGATAATTAAAGTGTATATGTGGGTTTTAGCAAGGCTTATATTTTAAAATCGAGACAGAGAATTTCAGTATCAACCGCGACAATGGTTATTTCATATAATAAGCATCACATTTGTTCTTGTGACTTTTTTTATAATCTATTCTATTTTCTTAATAGAATGATTGGAATTGGATATTGTACAAAGCCAAGTGATAAAAAAATAGACGAATCAGCTTATATAAATAATATGCTCATGTCCGGTAATAGCAAATTTTAATTTATTCTCTTACTATTACAAATTAACAGCTGTCATATCCCTTAGGCCAGGAATATAAAAAAAATGAACAAAATAAGGAAAATAAAATATGGGGGTGTGGTTATCATGGTGATGATGGATATTCTTTTTGTTTAGGAAGTGGCGAGCCATATGGATCGTCATATACTACTGATGATACAGTTGGATGCTATCTAAATTTCAGAAAAAGCATAGTATTTTATACTAAAAATGGAATTAACTTAGGTAACCAATATTTTAGAAATTAAATTTACATTTCTTGTCACGGCTGAAGCTGGAAATTAGGGACCTCAATTAACCCTACCAAAATCCACTTATACTCTTCTATTATAAGAACCCTAACCTAATTATTAAAAAAAAAGGCTTAAAAAATGCACCTTAAAAATTTTTGAAATTTTATATTAAAGTAATTAAAATTTCCAGTTTCAGCCACGACAATTTTTGAGGCAAATAGATAGAAATTTAATAATTATAAAATATTTTAAGGAATTGCATGCCATTTACCTAGTGATTTCAAAGGCACTCTATATCCTTGTGTTGGATTTAGATCACAAGGTGGGGTAGTAGAAGTGAACTTCGGCAACGAAAAATTTAAATATTCTGGTAAATTTATTAAATTCATTAAATTTGTTCAAGAGCTTAATGTTTTTGCTTATTTAGAATTTAATCTTGTCTATATATACTTCAATTGATAGCAATGACTAATGAAGACATTAGTAAAAAATCTAGTAATGCATTAGCATTGGGATATCAAGAAAAGGTTTATTTTATTATGGGCGGATATGAAAATATGCTTGTTAATTTAATCGATGAGTTAACAAAATCACTAAAAAAAGAACCGAATATTGCATTTGAATTAAGCTACCGAGCAAAATTATATTTTGTTATGGGCGAATATGATAAAGCATTTGAAGATTTAACTAGATTGCTAAAAATTAATCCAGATAATACAATAGCGCTAAGATATCGAAGTGAAATTAATTATATGATGAAAAGGTATAATGAATCAATTATTGACTTGGAGAAATTATTAAAAATTAAACCAGAAGATATGTGGGCGGAGAAGGCATGTGAATTAGTTAAAGGGCTGTAAGTATAATGTGCACTTGTAAACTTTAGCAGCTCAAAAAAACTTAGAAGTTTATTCCAATACAAAGCTAACATAACCATATCTAAATACTTGTATCACCACCATAGTTCGTAAGTACAGTAAAAGAATTTTTACAGTAAATCACTATAGAAAACACTGTCATTCCAATACAAAACTCACATAACCATATCTAAATCACTTGTATCACCACCACAGCGAGTAAGTACAGGAAAGGGATTTTTTACGTTCATTCCAATACAAAGCTAACGTAATCATATCTAAATCACTTGTATCACCACAATAGTCGGTAAGAATGTTTTACAGTAAATCACCAATACAAAACTAACATAACTATATCTAAATCACTTGTATCACCATAATAGCGAGTAAGTACAGTTAAAGGATTTTTTACAGTAAATCACTATAGAAAACACGTTCATTCCAATACAAAACTAACATGACCATACCATATCTAAATCACTTGTATCACCATAATAGTCTGTAAGAATTTTTTACAGTAAATCACTATAGAAAACACGTTCATTCCAATACAAAACTAACATAACCATATCTAAATCACTTGTATCACCACAATAGTCTGTAAGAATTTTTTTTACAATAAATCACTATAGAAAACAGATTCATTCCAATACAAAACTAACATAACCATATCTAAATCCCTTGTATCACCACAATAGTCTGTAAGAATTTTTCACTATAGAAAACACGCTCACTTGTATCACCACCATAGCAAGTAAGTACAGTAAAAGAATTTTTTACAGTAAATCACTGTAGAAAACACGTCCATTCCAATAAAAAACTAACATAACCATATCTAAATCATCTGTATCGCCACCATAGCTCGTAAGAATCTTTTACAGTAAATCACTATAGGAACACGTTCATTACAATACAAAATTAACATAACCATATTTAAATCACTTATATCACCATCATAGCTCGTAAGTACAGTAAAAGAATTTTTACAGTAAATCACTACAGTAAATCACTATAGAAAACACGTTCATTTCAATACAAAACTAACATAACCATATCTAAATCACTTGTATTACCACAATAGTCTGTAAGAATTTTTACGTTCATTTCAATACAAAACTAACATAACGATATCTAAATCATTTGTATCACCACAATAGTCTGTAAGAATTTTTTACAGTAAATCACTATAGAAAACACGTTCATTCCAATACAAAGCTAACATAACCATACCATATCTAAATCACTTGTATCATCACAATAGTCGGTAAGAATTTTTACAGTAGATCACTATAGAAAACACGTTCATTCCAATACAAAACTAACATAACCATATCTAAATCACTTGTATCACTACAATAGTCTGTAAGAATTTTTACAGTAAATCACTATAGAAAACACGTTCATTCCAATACAAAAACTAACATAATCACTTGTATCACCACCATAGCGAGTAAGTACAGCAAAAGAATTTTTTACAGTAAAATCACTATAGAAAACACGTTCACTCCAATACAAAACTAACATAACATATCTAAATCACTTGTATCACCACCATAGCAAGTAAGTACAGTAAAAGAATTTTTTACAATAAATAGAAACATGTTCATTCCAATACCAAATTAACACTAAATCACTTGTATCACCACATAGCGAGTAAGTACAGTAAAAGAATTTTTTACAGTAAATCACTATAGAAAACAACATAACCATATCTAATCACTTGCATCACCATAATAGTCTGTAAGAATTTTTTACAGTAAATCACTATAGAAAACGTGCTCATTCCAATACAAAACTAACATAACCATATCTAAATCACTTGTATTATCGCAATAGTCGGTAAGAATTTTTTACAGTAAATCACTATAGAAAACACATTCATTCCAATACAAAACTAACATAACTATATCTAAATCACTTATATCACCACAATAGTCAGTAAGAATTTTTTACAGTAAATCACTATAGAAAACACGTTCATTCCAATACAAATCTAACATAACCATATCTAAATCATTTGTACCACTATAGCGAGTAAGTACAGTGAATACTATTTATTGTCCACTTCGTAGGCAATAAGCGCATTTATTCTCACTTCGTGGGACTATAACAGAATTTTTTACAGCAAATCAAAAATATCGGTAGTCGTAGCTCTTAATTATTATTTTTTAATATTAAGGATTAAAGAAGAATTTCGTAATTGGACAAGTGACAATCACGACATTGATCAATTAATTCAACAAACACAACTTAATGCAGGAAGGTTTAAAGACATTATTGAATGGATACCTTTTAGCAAATTCACAAATATAAAGTATCTTGCTAAAGGGGGGCTTTGGCACCGTTTTTAAGGCAGTGTGGATTGACGGATATATTGAAGGGTTTGATTATCAAAAGGATGTATGGGAACGAAATGCACAAATAGATGTTTGTTTAAAGGGCCTTGATAATTCTAAAGATATAAAACAAGAATTTTTAGAAGAAGTAAGCATTCTAATTTATTATTATTAGAGTGTAGTAATCTTATTTATTCTAATTAATATTTTAGGTTAAAAATCAACATAAACATGGGGGCAATTCGGCAATTACAATTTATGGAATAACTAAAAACCCAAAAGATGATAATTACATGATGGTCATGAAATATGCAAAGCAAGGAAGCCTCCGAAAATTATTAGATAGTAAATATAATGAACTAGATTGGTTTTCTAAAGTAGTCAACTTATATTACATAGCTCATGGGCTTGATGCAATTCACCAAGCTAATTTAATGCATAAAGATTTTCATTCCGGCAATATAGTTAATCAAAATATGTTTAGTTCTTACATTACTGATTTTGGCTTATGTAAGCCAGTGTCACAAGACTCAAGTTTTAAAGAACTTTTTGGTGTGCTTCCCTATATTGCACCAGAAGTATTACATACAAATGGAAAGGAATACACTCAAAAATCAGATATTTATTCTTTTGGAATAATCATGTCGGAAGTTTTTACTGGATATCCTCCATATCATGATATTCCACATGATTTCGGCCTTGCACTCAAGATTTGTAAAGGTCTCAGACCTAAAATTAGATGCGAAGTTCCTCAATTACTTTTGGATCTGATGAATAAATGCTTAGTCGCAGAACCTCAAAACCGCCCAACTGCTAAAGAATTAGTTAATATGTTGAATATTTTTCTTAAAGATTTGGAAAATGAAAAAACTGAATTATATAAGCAAGTTAAAAATACTAAAGACTTAGACAAAAATTTCTTAACATATGATCAAGTCAAATCGGCACGATTCAAATATCAGACACATCCACAAGCTATTTACACAAGTCGATCTTTGAAACTTTCAAAACTCCCTAAACCAGGTAATAACATTTATCCATATTTTTTAACAATTAATAATATGTTATTAATTGTAAAAATTTCTGAATCTGCCAATATAGTAAATGCAGGTAATAATATTATTCCATTAAATTGGGTTCAAATTGTAGTTTTAGTATATTTATATGTATACATTTTAGCATGTCAACCTAGTCAACACATTGATTAGGTTGAAATTCCTATTGATAAGTAATATTTTCATTTTCATTTATAATTAAATTATAGTTATCGTATGGATGTGTAAGTTAGTTACAAACGGATTTATATTTAAATCATGTGGTCGAAGGCCACGTAGTTTAGATATGAATCCTGTGTGTACCTTACACACATTCATACGATAAACAAATTTATTACTCATTTGTATATTGGTATTCAGATGATTAAATCAAGTAAAAGAAAATTATTATTGCTATACTACAATGATTTGGTAATTGATTATATATGTATATGTCTAAAGACAAAGTTGACCCGATTTAGGTTAAAATTGGCTAATTTATAGCTAGTGTTGGATAGTTGTATATTGTTGGTGAAATAGTTAGTGAGTTTTACTAAAACCATTCTTACTATAATGAAAGACGTTTGATAATAAAAATTACTAAATTTAAATATATCTGTTGTCGTGCTCGGAAAACTGCGACTCGGTCGCTCCACAATCCAAAAGCTCGTGTAACGTACGACAGGTAACCTTTCCGAAAGAGGGTGTTAGATATGGCTGGTGGGTGATTAAGGCTTTGGTTACTTTGGGTCAACGAAGTCGGTAGTGTAGGTCACGTGATCGAGAACTCGAACGTAAAACTACGTATTGAAATAATAAATGCTAATGTTCTTTTAAAATCATTATTGTTGTTAATAACCTTATTGGTGTTAAATTGTTATTTTTAATTGGGATGCTAATATTATTATCTGTTATTATGCTAGATAGAAAAAAAGTATTTAATTCTGTTAGGTTATACAAACTTAATAAAAGCTTTTGTAATTCAATTAGGCAAATTTTTCAAATCTTTATTATTGTTATTATTATTTTTAAATAAGTTTATAATTCCAGTATAGATATATATAATTTAAGATCTGGTAATTATTATAAAATATAAGAATGATAATTTTAGTATAGTGATTGTGTTATCATCTTTTAAGTAGTAGGTTCAGAGTTCAAATCCTACTAGTAACAGAATATTAGAAATTTAGTTCTATTTTGATAACTTATCTGTAATCAAGAGTTTGTAATCTTATAATTTTGGTTGTATCAAGACTAATTTTGAAAGTATGTAATATTATATAAATAAATCTAAGAAGTATATACTTAGGTAAGAAGCTTACTAAATAAAAAGATAGTATGATTTTTAATAGTATTATCTGAAAGATCTTAATTTAAAAAATAAACTTGAAATAGAAGATCTATATAAACAAGATCTTTAGATAAAAGATATTTATTAATTTTGGTTACTAGTTGATTTGAACATAAAGTTACATCATGTAGAATTAATTGAATTAGGAATATAGAAGAATTTATAAAAATATACAATGTTGATATTAAAAGTTTATACATTTTTGATAATAATTTTTGATGTACCAAATCAAATTAGATAAAACAACTATCATTGGATTCAGTTTATCAAGCTGGTTCTAATAAGCATAAGATCATATAATTCTAATCATTGAATCATAAAATCAGGATAATTTCGATGAAAATACTAATTTTAATACATGTAACTTGATTCTGATTGGTTCTTATTGCTATGTCAGAAATCTAGTATTTCTATTATTTCTAATAAATCTATTATTTTTATTAAATCCATCATTTCTAATAGATCTATTAGTTTTATCATATTTATCATTTCTATTATATCTACTATATCTATTATATATACAATATCTATTATATCTATTAGTTTTTTTTTTAATATTAAGGTAAGTAATTGTGATTTAGGAATTTATTGATAATTAGTTAATATATAACTATTATATACAACAGCTACAAAGGCAATCATAAAAAGAATATACAACTAGTTACTTATACAACTTTAGTTATTATCTATTTTAAGTAGTTTATTCAAAGGTTCTACATTAGTTGTCATATCTAGAACTCATCTGTAGATTCTCTATTTTTTTTTTTTTTTTTTTTTAAAGAGAGGTCTATCTTCTATCTCTTTATTAATTAGTCAAATTACATATATAAAATACATGTTAAAGAAACTAAACTAGGGGAGATGGAGGTAAGAGCTACTTTACTCTCAACCTATTCTTTGCTAGAATGGTCAGTAAACCTCTAGTCTTTGATATGCTGATAGAGTGCAGATTGTCTATACATAATATATAGTTGTATTTTTTATTTAATATAGAATCTGAGATTGGTGTAGTTTTAGTAAGTGTTGGTGGTTGTATAGGAGGTGGAATTGGAATAGCTTATTCATGTTGTATCACTCTAGAAGTGAGCCATATTTTTTTGTATATCATTGAGATGATGTTGTGATAAACAAGAGGTGCATATTTATGTTTGTGCTTGTTGTCTTCAAATAGTGCTAAAGTGTCATTCATTATTATTCCCAATGGCATTTGTTTTTTGATATAATTGTGAATAAAGGCTTGAATAAATTTTCTTGTATTCTCATAGTGTAGTTCTAGCTTGTTTGCAGTTTTGATTAGTGTATATTTTATCAATGTTTCAATATCTGGATTGTTTCTAATACATGTTAGAAGGTGTATAATAGTTTCTGATATATTATAACATCTTACACAGAAATGGTTTGGATGTTTTGTAGCATTTCTCCAATGATGAAGAAGATGAGTAGGTAGTTCTTCTGATATTAGTTTAATCTTGAAGTTTTCAAGTGCTGATGATGTTAGGTCAGTTGTTAGAGCTAAAGGTTTTTTTCTATATAATATATATTGTAGGGTTAATGACCAGTTAATGTTGTTTTGTGGTGTATGTCATAGTGAGATTCGTTGTTAGTTGAACTATGTTAAACAGTTTGTAATTCGATGTAATTGTTTCAGTATAGTTTTTACCAAGTAAGTACAAGGGTTTTCTGGAAGTTTTGGAACAAACTGATTATATAAAAACTTTTGAGGTATGGAGTCTAGTGGAAAAATAATACTAGGAGTTTCTTGAATCTGAAGATCTTTATCAAAGATCATTGTGAGCACATGATCATATGCCAAGGCTTTTAAAGTTAGAAGAAGAAACATATATTGTTGTTTGTTTAATGTAGGGTAGTTGTGTGATTGAACTAAATATGTAAAGTTGACGAGATTAACTAAAGTAGAGTTATTAGTATGTATATTTATCGAAGCACAGGGGCTTAATGTAATAAGTATAAAATTTAGCATAGTTATTAGTATATTCAAATGAAATGGCCAGGAGTTGTTAAAGCATCCAAAAGTTAGATAAGAGTGTTAAAAGTGACACTTTGCAATTATTTGAGAAGTATTTTCAATGTTTTGTTGTCTACTTGTTATATGAATTGTTGTAGTTTTTGTATTAAAGTTAGTTTTGACAAGGTCATTCCAAAGTGTTATTAGTGGATTTATAAAAGAACATAGCGGGTGGGCCAATGTTGGATGTATTGTCTAATTATGAGTTCTTGGTATTGTTGATGGCATTAGTGTTGTGGCTTTTTTAAAGTCTTCTAGATTAATATGAATTCTTTTTTTGCAGTCTACTTGGAGGTTATAGATGGGTTTTGTTGC